CCCCCCCCCCCCCCCCCCCCGTTTATGCCCACGCCAATAAATTGCTCTTCGATATTTTCTATGCAGTCCTTTTAAAATCGGAAAGGTAATGAAAGGCTAAATGATTTTTTTTTTCAAATGAAGATCAAGCTATCATCATATACCACACCACTTCTGTAGATGGATGAAATATATCTAATGCGATATGTTTCACGGACTGTGCTAAAAGTATATAATTCATACCTTAATACTCTGTTTCTTCAGTCTACGTCGATGAGTAGATTAAAGCCTTTGGACAAAAGGAAACTGTCAACAAGCATTCAAAATAACTCACCTCATTTTTGCTTCGGCATGAACCTCAATGTTCAGAAATACTTCAATCTGACCAAGAGTCAAACTGCACTGCCGCCACGAAACGTTCAAACATGCTATTTATAGCGCAATACTAGAACCGGTGTGTAACTTAATTTAATTATTTATGCAGTGGCTGACCTGGGTGCCTTTCCTATTAATCAATACTATGTAACGTGGGATTCAATTGGCTGGATGCGGTATTCATGTGTTAACTAGATGCCATTTAGGCCTACCTACTGGTCACAGATAAAGCATCGAAGAATTCCTATAACCAGTGACGTAGTTTCCCACTATATTGAAATGAGCAACAAACTTGCAATTGGCCCTATGCTTTTTATAATCTATTGATTCTTCCCCGATTTACACAGATACAGTGTATTTTGTTTAAGTCCATACAGAGAATACTCAAAGTGTGTATCAAATATTGTATATTTTATCATCATGTTTTGAACGCTTATATACAGGGTGTATCAAAAAAAAGTGTACACTTATAAAAATACCTAGAATTTTAAAATTTTATTTCATATAATAAATGTTAATGTAAATATAGGTTTGTAGGGAAGTCATTCTTCAATGCACACCATGGATTGTCGTGTCTTTTCACGCATGACTGAGCAGGGTCAAATTACGTCACGAGGATAGCAAAAAGTTGTGAAATTACCATGAAATGGTTCAATCAATGGTTTTCAAACTAGAAACCTGCCACTTAAAGTCATAAATACTCTTCGTTTTGGCCAAAAAGTGGATTTTCCTGGCGTAAACGGCAATTTTCCCGTACTTACCAATGGTCAACGACCCCATTCCTGCATTCAAAGTTAGTTCAGGTTTTTTTCCCTAAACGCTTGGTTTTTTGATAAAATCTCTTAAGAGATTTTAACTGACGGAGCCCTCTCTGATATTGCATAAGTCACGCGATATCAAGCGGGGTTTTCTGATGACCTACTTAATACCGCGGGAAAAGCAGACAACAACAACACTTTATTACAATAAATTAAGATTCATACGATATAATCGTCTTATTGCTCAGAATGCATTTATATCTACAACGTGTGCAGTTCTGGGCTTTTCGTTATCCGACACACTGTACAAAAACTCGCAACTTACGTCTGAGTATTGTGTCATGCGCCTGCTATATCTTATCCCGTCACATGTTATTTTGGTCTCGAATGCACGCGAGAATCCGCGTGATACGCCAACATCCTTGGCAACGGGTGCCTTGACGACCGGGAAGAAAGGCACCGAAAGCCCTATTGACAAGCACAGTTTTTAGTTTTACTACAATAATAGCCGTTTCAGTGGTGAAATGCAATATAATATATTTCCATGTGTTGTTTAGAATGTATTTCTTGCGGAATTTTGAATCTCAAAGGAAGAGTTATTATACTATTGCTTTAACCTTTTCTTCCGTTATCTGCCACTTATGTTCTTTTGTCATGAACATCCATTGTTACAAGAACTTCTCCTTCATAATTTTCAATCAAACCTTTTATCTGGGTCACCTGGCTAAAGTTGATGTCACCTCAAGTCCAAGGTTTAATAAATCCCACCACAAGACTTGGATGACCTTGAGAGGCGTATCAGGGATGAGGTGGATGTTCTTCGACGGGATAGAGCCACAGTGCGACATGCAGTTATGGCAGGAGGAGAAGAGCCCAAATCTGTTGGACAGAAATGGACAGCATGTTGAAGACTAAGGGTTTAAACTTTGAAGTTATCACACATGTATGTACAAACTGTGCATACAGTATCTGCATATCGATGCTACTTCAGTTGAAACTTGTGGAGGAAATTTAAAGTTCTTGTAACAATTAATCAACGTTTTGCGAAAAAATAGTTCTCGTAATAAAAATTTGATCCTCATGACGTAATTTGACCCTGCTCAGTCATGCGTGAAAAAACACGACAATCCATGGTGTGCATTGAAGCATGACTTCCCTACAAACCTATATTTACATTAACAGGTATTTTTCTAAGTGTTCACTTTTTTTATTCACCCTGTATATTATCATTTAGAGCTGTTAAATCAAGACATAACAGAGATTTTTAAAAACGTTCTCAAACTATTCTGTATATTTACTCTTGATGGCAATTTTTGGATCTTTGTAGTTTTACTCAACTTTTACATAGTTTAAAAAAAACTTTGGCGTGGCGACTTGTGTAAAACAAGTTTAAAATTCATAAATGAAAATTATCAAACACAAGCCGACGGCTAACTTTGACGTAGGCCTTAATTAGACTGATGTGAGCAAATGTTGACACTCACTGCATGACCGCTAGGTGGTACAGCGACCAGAACCCTTTTATAAATGTCAGTCAGATCGCCCCCCCACCCACCATGGTGGCGGCTGGTGCTGATAGCCTCTCGTATCTTATGCGGGATGTCAGATGACTCGGATTCAATAATTTTGGTTAAATTCTAGTTGATACTGTGTCCGGTGTCTATTGCATGTTCAGAAATGGCCATGGCAGAGCTGGCATTGCCTACAGTCACTGATTTTCTTTGTTCACAAACCCTGATCTTCAACTGTCTACCTGTCTCACCAATGGTAAAGGAATTGCAGTCATGGCACTTGATGCTATATATTATCCCACAACGCTGTTCTTGAGGGGTCTTGTCCTTTGGTGCCACTAGGAGTTGTTTCAATGTGCACTGGGGTCTAAAAGCTGTGTTGACAATGTGCTTTTTAGACCCTGCAAGCTTTCTCTGAAATTCCTTTACAACAAGTGAGAATCAGTAACTATTTTTTCTGACTGTATCTGTTGGTTCACAGTTGGTCCCTACTGTCCTGTCCTGATGAGGTTGTCTTTAAAGCGAAAGGCCCAAGGTGGGTAACCACACAACATGAGAGCCTTATCCAGTGTCTTGTTCTCCAGTGTCTTGTCCTCCTCATTAATCACGACCGTGTTGCACCTGTGTTTAAAGTTCTTACCAGTGGCGGATTTAGAGGGGGGAAGGGTCATGGGGTCCTGACCCCCCTCCTCCCTCCCCCCTTCGGTTTCTGAAAAATACATTACACCAATATTTCCCTCTTGAAATTAAAATTTTGACTATCTAAATCATAGTTCTAAACCGTACCAAAGGGCACTGTTTGCTCTCCAAATTAAAAAAATTTGGGGCCCTTGAGCAGGACAAAAACCCCACACCAAGAGGCGATGGTCTGCTTCGCATCCGAGGCTTGTCGTATAATCCTGCTTCTGCCCCTGGTTCTTACGACCCCCAGTTTCTGATGTAGGGGGTGTTTCGACTGGAATGGTATTGGATGGTATGTGTGCCTTCCTGTAGACATACCATGTGTGATTAATGAATCCAGGAGAGCAACAGAATTGTAGTTGAATCATAATTTTCATTTATGATCCAACTACCAAGCTAATCAACATTTTGCTAAAATTAATAAAATTATATTCCCGATTTCAAATTTTTATCAAATGAGCAAATAAAGGACCAAACCTTTGTCAGAACGTTTCACAGAGAGCAACCTGGCTCTTAAAGAAGAGACCGATCTACATGTTATTATGTGATCAAACATGATTTATCTTTTTTGAACTGTCAGCTGATCATTTATCTTTACTTGACTTACTGGCCACTGACCGGTGACTGACGATTGCATGGAAGCATACTCATTTATAAACAATAATTACATATTTTTCTCTAATGTATGTTTTTAATATTTTAGAATAGGATCGGTTTTATGGATAGTAAGCAACATCTGTCTGCCACGAATTGTGAAGTTTTAGCGAAGATCCATCCATTCACTCTGCACGGAACACCCAGTCAACCATCCACGTGGGTTTTCAACTACAAACATTACTTTCATGCTTTAGTCAGAGGTGTATTTTATGTCTAAAATATAAGATCAATTGCCTTTAGGAATTTTGACGAGGTGCATATATGTAGTAAAATGGTTTTGGTATGAAAATATCATTTAGTTGACAGATTGATAGTCATTTTTTCTGTTGAGAAATAGCACAATTACTGATCATTTTTAGCGATCTATTCATGTTTCCTCGAGCGTCTGGCTCAGGTCATTAAGTTTCTAATGGTTGAAATATGCCAAATTTAATAGCATGAAATGAAATGATACGGGCACATTGTATCGTTCATGCAAATCATTCAATAGTTGTTTATCAATCCGTAAATCTTAACACTTAGGTATAATTTGAGTCTTGTCCCCGTGACATTAGACGACTATTTTATTACTGCTGTATGAGCAAATGTTTACTCAACGCACAGCGATCAATGTCAGACAAAAACTAACCTATCTACCGGGCACCTTAACACTGATTATACTATTATCCTATAGAGTGTATTAATATTGTGTTAAAACACAAGTACTGGTCAATTTAAGCGCTCTATTCATCTGCTTCCCCGAACGTATTGCTCAGGCAATTAAGTTGTAATATGTATAATTTAGTAGCATGAAATGAAATTATACGGTTACGTTGTTACGGTATCGTCCATGAAAAACATTTAATAGTATTTATCAATCCGTATATCTTGACACATAAGTATAATTTGGGTCTTATTCCCGTGACATTAGATGCTACATTATTTTATTGCTACTGTATGAACTAATGTTTACTCAAAGCACAGTCATCTATGTCAGAAAAAAACTGACCTATCTACCGGATACCTTAAATATGGCTGCTTTGCCGTCAAATTCATCTCTAGGATTACTTTCAAATTACAGGACAATTAATTATATAAAGTCATAAAGAGAACGGGGCCGTCCTTTTTTTATTGTGTTCATAATGCTTTAATATTCTGAGAGTACAAATAAAGACATGCTGTTTGTTTGATATTTGTTTTATTGATTGTTATACCAACAAAATGCATGAAATAACTTTAAATAGATTGGAAAATGTATCACGTTTATTAGTTTATCAACATTATGATTAGTGTACATATATGGATATGACAAATAGCTATAAGCAATATATACTCATCTAAGATAACTTTAAAATGTAACTAATTAACCAATAAATGTATATTCGTTATGAAGAAAAAAGGTCGTATTATAATAGTGCTGGATAATAATTTAAAAAAAATAGATGGTATTAGGGGAGTTGGAGGGCCTGGCACATCGGAGGACAGCTGTGGGAGAGAGTAGACAGTGCGATTGAGTGGCTAATTCATATATGCACATTTTCAATAAGGAAATTAGCGACAATCACAAAAATTCTGTCGTTTTGACAAAAAGTAAGAGATTTATGGTCGTGTAGGAAGAGGTTGATTTTATCCTGTTGCGTTCTGAAGTTAGTGCAGGCAATACCCAGGATATTATCAATTGCCTTATGGAAATTACGGTAATTCGTCTGTTTGAGAGGGCAACGAAAGAAGAAGTGTCGGGGAGCATCAGCCTTACCACAGAGACAATTTGGAGTGTTTAAAAATAGCCATTTATGATTATAAAGTTGATATTTGAATGATAAATCTACGCGAGCCCAATTTAGGCCACACTTTTTTATTTTTATGGATGACATCCTCTGGGGACCCCAAAGTCGGTGCCAGCGGGCGAAAAAAAAAAAAAACAGTCCAAAAAAAAAAAAAAAACTGCTTAAGAAAAGTTATGTTTTCAGTACACAGCTGGAAACACTAATTAACCACAGAAACACGTATCAAACTAACAACATGTCTTTATCCATGCTACCAAAATATTAAAGCATTGTGAATAGGGCCTACTTAATAGAAAGGTAAAAAGTCATGAATATATATGCTGCATATTACCAAATCTATTTAAGGTTATTTCATGCATTCTGTTGGTATAGCAATCAATAAAACAAATATCAAATAAACAGCGTGTCTTTATTTGGAAAATGGTCTCTCTTCCAGATTGCTGCAACCTCATTCAAGTTGCATTATCAAGTTGGTATTTACATTCTTAAGTCGAGACAGATCATCCCTTATTGATGTCACAAAAATATTTTAGACGTTCTGCATCATAATAAACTGAAATATGACCATATCGTTGGTTACCTTTGTACAAATTCTGTTTAACACAGCTGCCACACTGTACCTTTTATCCAGACAATGCACTGACAAGGTAGCGGGGGCCTGGGTTACTATGAACTCACCTTTCATTTTATATGACTGGTATAATTTATGTTTCGCTCTATGAGCAAGCAGAAGGTACATTCACGTGTTGATTACATTTAAAAAACAAGGCTGCAAAGCTGACAAAGGTAAAAAGCAGAAAATAATGATGCACAAAAAGGGTAGTTTGTCAGTCTTGGTGCAATATTACATAACGTTTCACTGCAAATCACATTGTAAAAATCTTGTACTCTCAACGAAATAGGTATTGAATTACTGTTTTAACATGCTCATTATGCTGTTAACAATTCCCAATTGGGTCTTTGGGGTGTCGTCTGGGCAACGTCCTAACTGGGATGTGGTCTAAGCCAATTAGAAAGTAGACTAGATTAGGATCTGGCCTGTGACATATATCTACCCTGTAATATGGTATGATTATTAAACCGCGCTTCACATATAACTAGCCTACTGTTGCATTGGCTGTACGTCAAGTAGCATAATCATGCTGAAACAACTGGGTGGTCGTGCTCCACAAAAATATTCTCGACAGGGTGCGCCTTGTCGATCAGAAGCAGAAAATTGGGAAGGTACTTCTTAGGACCTGTTTTCCAAACTCTTACGCGTCCATCACTTCTGACTTTTGACTTCTGATCCTTACACACATGTTGTCTTGGGCATAATTGTTATGTCCAAGATGTAGTTGACAAAAACTAACTTGAGCGTAGCGGCTTACTGGTTCTCTTACGTGTAAAGCTAGCTAAAGATCATATTCCCGATTTCAGACTTTAACAAGATGGGCAAATAGAGGACCAAACTTGTGGATCAGTGACTCTCGATTGCATAGAAACACATACTTATTTATATATCTATTTTATTTCTATTTTCCAATGTTTGTTTTTTATTTTCAGCTGAACAGGATCGTTTTTATGGATAATAAGCAACATCTACCAGGCATTGTGAAAGTTCAAGAAAATCCATCCATACACTGCTCGGAGCACCCAGCCAACTGTCCACGTCGGTTTTCAACTACAAACATTACTTTCATGCCCATGCTTTAGTCCGATTTTTTTTCTGCGCCTGAAATATAAGGTCAACCGTCATTGTAGGGATTTGACGGCGTGCATGTATTCGGTANAAGCCCGCTCCCACACCTGCTCCTCTACCTATTCCATCGCCCGTGCTGCTACCGCCGCCGCCTCCTCCTCCGCCGCCACCCCCTCCTAGTGGTCCCCCAGAGCCGCCTCCGTAGCCGATGCCGTAACTGACGTCGTTTCCGCCGCCGCCGCCGCCGCCACCACCGCCGCCACCGTACTCTCCAACGACGTCGCCGCGTCCGACGTATTCGTCGTTACCTCTTCGGCCGTCATAGACCTGTGCTAACGACCCGGCCAGTAGTAGCACAGCGACACACACGCGGCTCAACATTCTTAGTCGCCTTGACTTAGACGCAGTGAAATTGTAGAAGTTCTGAGCTGAGAATGCAGTCTCAATCAATTTGAAAGGAATATCAGTCCTCAAAGCTTCCAAAATATTGAAAGCACTCTCCAAGCGATTTGCGCAAGCGGCTATTTACACAAATCCCTTGGTTTTCTCGAGGCGTAATTCAGTTTCACTTTTTTCCAACCTTTAAAGTTTTTACGGACTTATAAAGCGATGTTAATAAATGTCTATTTCATTCTGTCGATGTATAACTCGACCCCATATTTATATCCAACCAAACTTATTTGCGTGACAAGATGTTCTTTCAGAGTCGCCTTGGTACAGGGAAGTCTGTACCCCGCTTACCGTGCGGTATTTATGTGTGTTATTTCCGTATCGTGCAGCAGAACATTAAGTGTTCGAAAGCGCTATGCTGATCTGTAGCTAAAATAAATCTTGATTTCATAAATCTTGATCTGCCATAAGAACGTTCATTTATTTGAATGAGGTAAGAGTTACATGTTGCTGGTTTTAGTCTCATTAGTAAGCTGTCTGTCCCTCTGTCTATGTGTTTACCTGTCCATCTGTCCAGTCAATATGGCATTACAGAATATCGATTTAATTAGCATACTGGACCGTGAATATTTCTACTTCCTTGATTTGCGGTCGGTTAATATGTAATAAAATGAAAAACAGTAGGCTCGTATAAGTTCTTTAAACATGCGTAGTGGGTGTATTGTATGTTGTCATTGACATACGCGCGCGAGCTGTTTTTTACTTTTTTGTCAAAGCCGAATTTCAGTTTATTCACACGAAAATTCACAATTTCTGCACTCAAAGTGTCAGAGGTTACTGGAAGCTAGGTATTGCTGCTACAATCACCACATGCTAGTGGTCAAAGTTCGAGTCCAATAACTCAGGGTGAAAATGTTTTTAAAAACAATATAAAAGGAAAGCTATTGTCATTTTCTGATCAAAAAACATGACACTTATGTGATACATGGTCTAGACTGTCTATAGCAGATTGTTAAAAAAAAAGACAGACCTTGCTGAAAATTATGACTCTTGGAGACACTTAAGTTAAAAGGTCTGTAATTAAATTCGAAGAAAAATGATAATAAGATAAGGAAAACAAAAAGGACAGAAACATTAACTGTATATCTATGGTTGATGATTCAGTAGTTGTCCTGCTCAAAGACATAACTAAGAACAAAGTCAAGTGCGTACATGCGGTGATCAGTCCCTTGGAAAAGGTCATGTCATTTTAAAGCATATACTCTTAAAGAAGTGGGAAAAAAGCAGATGCCTCTTGATATCGTCACTCTGTAGTTATCATTATACTGTTGCGGGGCTGCTCTATTTTAACTTGGGCGGTTATTTCTGTATTTTCCATGTGTGTTTTGCTGTCCTTTTTATGCATAGCTGTACAGTTGCCCACGATACATATAGACCTGAATGAGTTTATTAAGCATAAGGCGAGAGTCACGTTTCCAATATCTAAAGAAGACAGTATGTATTCTGTCCTGTTTTAAACTGACGGTACTAATTTTAATCTCAGATTTGCGTATATAAACCTAAAGCTAGCGACGTAGACACACTTATGCCTTCACAGCATATGACGTCAATCATGGAGAGACCATTAGTTTTGCATTTTGCGTTTTGGCTGTGCAGTTTGGTTTTCCTGAGTGACAATTCCAATGGACAGATTCAACCGTCAACTATGACTTTGCACTCTTCGGGGTAAGGTTCAGTTAACGAAAGTTCGCGTGCTTGCTGTCCACCTGGTGAATGAAAAGGTGCGATTTGATGAAAAACTGTTTTAATTAAATGAATGCAAATGTAACACTATGCAAGAGTTAGTTACCAAAAGTTAAAGGTACTCTATACGGGATTTACCCGGGATTTTCACCTGGAAAAGAGCAATGACCTCTTACTCATAAATCTGGTCATGTCCCTGCACTTGGATTCAATGTTTCATTCTATTCTTAATTCAATGATTGAATTTTTATTGCCTGGCCAGTCATTAAGAGCGTCATGTCTTCCTATGCAGTTTAAAAGCAAGTGTCGACACCAAGTACTTCTATTTGATAAATTTGATATCTTAAAGAGCTTAATAGTACATACGAACCGAGCATCGGTGGAGCGTGGATTCCCAGTTAAGCCCCTATTTCACACAGACCACGAATCCCACGAATCGCCAGTGTCAGGAAAAACAACAGCGCATTTGCATATGTTCTGAATGTCTCCTTTATTATTTTCGAAATTTTAAGATTTCCACTGAATAAAGATCAGTTTCCAGATTATCACAGTACATAACGTAACAGTAACTAATGCAATGTAACAGAGAGGTGCACGTGTACTTGCCGCCGATTCCTATCTTGGTTAGTTTATGCCGTAACTTGGTGCATTTATGGTATCAAAGCATTCAGTGCAGTCCACGGAACATCAACACAGTCTTTTCCAACAATAAATCTCCTAACTACAACGTCCAGCGCTTAAAACGCTTCCACACTCTGTCTGAAACAGTAACGCACCGCATGGCCCCGACTCTCCTCTCTCTCCCCCATTTTCGATCTCCCCACCCAGGAGAGCTTAATTCTCTGACAGCCAGGAATTGACAAATTTCAGGATTCGTGAGGATTCGTGAGATTTTGCCAATTTTCTGGTCTAAGGCCCCTATTTCACACAGACCACGAATCCCACGAATCGCCAGGAATTGACAAATTTTAGGATTCGTGAGGATTCGTGAGATTTTGCCAATTTTCTGGTCTAATTCGACACGCTCACGATTCATTTACGATACAGGTACGATAGTGTTACGAATATTCTTGGGATTCGGATGGAATCGTGAGATTTTGCCAATTTTCTGGTCTAATTCGACACACTCTACGATTCAGTTACGATACAGGTGCGATAGTGTTACGAATGTTCGTGGGATTCGGCTGGAATCGCACGAAAATTGTCCAGAAATTCACTACGATTTTTTGGAATCGGGAGTTCGTGGCCAAAACTATGAACAGCTCAAAATTTCTGCCACGAATTCCCGATTGATCAAGAATTGCAAGAACTTACTACGATTATATACGAATCTGTTAAGAACTTCACGAACTGATTACGATTCAACCACGAATCCTGAAATTTTCAATTCCCGGCGATTCGTCGGATTCGTGGTCTGTGTGAAATAGGGGCATCAAAGTTTTTGCCACCAATTCCTGTTGGTCAAGAAGTGCAAGAACTGACTTCGAATATATACGAATCTGTAAAGAACTTCACGAACTGATTACGATTCAACCACGAATCGTAAAATTTGTCAATTCATGGCCATTCGTGGGATTCGTGGTCTGTGTGAAATAGGGGCATAACACATGTAAACCACTTCTACTAGATTCTTATATGACTCAAATAAATTCGACATGCCAAGGGATAAACTGAATAGATCACTCGATCAGCCATAAAAGACCTTTAGACTGCTCCTTTCTTTAAATTTTTGGTTGTAAATTTAACCTACTTTCGTGACCTACTTTCCTGCCCCATTGACATACAGCTTAGAATGCCAGCAGAAAAATCCGTTCAAACATCATTTTCGGGTAGAATTAAACAATGCCTTTTGTTGATTATCTTAGTTATACTACTTAAAACTATATGCTGGCATTTTGTTGGTTTTTGTGACAAAAAATTGACTTTGTATGCATCTTTAAGCCTCGGTCACAACCGGATGCACGAATTTCAGGATCGTACGTTCCCTGTGATTTTTGGGTGTTGCGGAGGCCGTGGAGGTCGTAGAGGTATAGGAAAGTCTGCCTTGCGAGTCGCAAGGGCCACATGAGATGTCCTTTCAAGCAGGGACGCTAATGGCATATTAGAAACTAAATTGAGCAAAAATGTGAAAAAATTTGAAATTGTTGTACACGTTACACAGTCGACGTTCATCGTAAAGACACGAGCGTGCGTCGTGAGCACGCATTTTATACACCAGGCGTGGGGGTGACGCAGTTGCGACGCATTCCCAGTGTGCTTTCGACTTTGTTCGTTAGTTGTGAGGGCGTGCACCTTACTCAACACGCAAAGGGCACTTGCTCCTTCATTGCTTGCGACGTGAGTCTTGCAAAACGCGCGTCTCTCTTGCTAACTCAGTGCAAGGGGAGCAAGTTACGCTTGCGGTCTAGCAGTTCGCAGTCTATTCGTAGAATCTTTTGGACATCCCCCGTACAAACAACCCGTAAGAGCCCGTGCGGCTTTAATTGTGACAGAGGCTTTAATTGGAAAAGATAAGTAGCTTTGCAGGATATGTAGACAAGGGAAGTAAGGCTTTCTGGGATTTTTCAAACGCACACAGTAGGCCTTCAATTACTTCAAAATCATTATCTTAACTATAGGAATGGTGAAAAAAATTAAAATGTTTTTCAGGTCCAACGTATGTACCTACAAATACCAAGTGGGCAGCACGGACAACTACGGAAGGTATTCATAAGAAATCTCTCTCTTTCTCAAATATACATGTAGGATAAATATTAATATTTGAAATACTACATCATGTATTTATGCAGTATAAACAATATACACATTCCATAATTCAAAATTGGCTTGGTATAGGAAGTAGCTGTACATGTATATAAACGTTTCCGCTTCCACCATATCGTATTCTTCATTCGGCATGGACATTACGTTCCCGTCATCAAAAACTGGGTCGGTGCAAACCCACCGTGCCCCCTCCCCCCCCCCCCCCCCCCCCCACCCCCACAC